AATTTATGAACTTTGAACTATCACATTACAAATTTTGTACTGCAAGATTCAATACTTTGCTATATCACATTATAAACTTTGTACTGCTAAGTTTAAAACTTTACACTAAGAATTTATCAACTTTAAACTATGACACTATAAACTTTGTACCGCTAGATTTAAGACTTTGAACTATCACATTATAAACTTTATACTTCTAGGTTCAAAACTTTACACTAAAAATTTATAAACTTTAAACTATGAGACGACAAACTTTGTACTTCTAGATTAAAAACTTTGAACTATCACATTATAAACTTTATACCATTAGGTTCAAAACTTTGTACTGCTAGGTTCAAAACTTTAGACTCAGATTTTATAAACTTTAAACAAATTTTGTACTGCTATGTTCAAAACTTTGACTATCATATTATAAACTTTATACTGCTAGGTTCAAAACTTTACACTTAGAATTAATAAACTTTGAACTGTGACATTACAAACTTTGTCCTCCTAGGTTCAAAACTTTGTATCTATTTTTCACATGGTAATAAAACCTTTGAAATTAGAATTTAGGAATTTTATACTAGCTCATTTAAAACATTATACTCCAAGATATAAAACTTACATGTTGAGGGTCAAAACTTGTATGCGGGAAACTTTACACTCTAAATTTAGGAACTTTGGAATAGATCGTTTAAAACATTGTACTTCAAGACCAAAAACTTCTATTAAATAAAAAAATTTCGACTGTAACCGTACAGAAACTTTGTACATCTAAACTTTAGGCTGTGAATTTAAGAACTAACAACTATAGTATTGAGGAAAAGGAACAGTGAGCTAACAGAAAACATTGCACTCCAAAACTTTGTACATCTTAACTCAGAACCATTCTAATAGACCACACCTAGTTACTAGTTCGTCATTCAAAACTTTGCACATAAAAATTTATAAAACTTTTCTGTACACACAAAATATTAGAAAATGTGTTTAAGCAATGCCAAAACTGAAAGATAACTATTTCTCAAATACTAAGAAGACTACCAGAGGTTCCATAACTGTAAAAAGCACACAAAAATATATTAGGACAAGACCATACCTCGGTAAAGGGGAAGAAAATAACCAATTCAACCTTATCTACAAGGCCACTTTTGTTCACGTGCTCCCGCAGATCATCGACCTATAAATTTCAGGTAAGTCAATAATTCATGAATCTTGAAAATGTCATATGGAAACACGCAATGTACAGAATTATTATAAGCGGAAGCAAGGTTTTGATCAAAATATATAATTTATGTGGCAAAGAATTGTTTGTGTGGTATCTCTTATCTAGGAACCTCATCCATACTCATTATAAGCATAAGCATGCAGCACTAGGCAAACGATTGAGCAGCTTGCAGCACAACACAGCACAGTAGCTGGTGGCAAAATGGTGGCTTCACATGAATAGAGAAGGGACGATTTGCTAGAGCGACTTGCACTTCACCTTGGAAAGTCGCAGCACAACTGGCCCGCCCGGCGATGGTCATCCGGCGAAATAAATTAGGAGAAACAAAGAAATTTGTTTGGTTTGCGCATGCTACTTTAACTGAAGGTAAAAAGCCATAATTCCTCTTATAAACTAAATGCTAACAAGCTAGATCAGCTCCTCTTCTCTCCTACAAAGCTACCCTATAAACAAACATCCTAATTATGACACACTAAAAAAGCCCCATTGTCTACAACATTCAACTCTATATCCTCAAATTTTTCATTCGTCCCCGCCTAGTTAAGGAACAAAAAAAAATGGAGACAGTAACTAATCAACATGTAAACTACGGCTGTTGCCAGTCTAAATCCATGATGGCCTATTGCTGCAATCCAGCTAATCTGATAGCAACACTAAACGCTACCTCATATCATATAGTGATATCTGTTGGCCCACAGTTAGCCTCCCGGCCACCGAGATGGCCTCCAGACCACTACAGATAGCCTACAGACCACCGAGATGGCTTCCAGACCACTACAGATAGCCTCCAGACCACCCTTGGTCTCACAGGATCACCGGCTCACGTCAGTGAACCACTCTTGCCGATCTTGCCGTGCACCGGCTCAGGCGAGAGGAGCACTTGACGGTCTCGCCGAGCACGCGCTAGTGTTGCCGAGCGCCCACTAGCCGTGCAGACCACGTACCGGCGTTGTCCGTACCCACACACTACGGACGGAGTTGGAAGAAGAAGGGAGAACAGAGCAAGCACGCACAATACAAGACAAACAGCGTTGGCCGAGGCCCTGTCTATGTGATGGCAAGTCTGAGCTCTCTTTACTGAGTTGCCATACATGTCTATTTATACAACTCTAACTATCTAGTCCATGTGCAGCGCCCATGCTGGCACAGTAACTAGATAACCTGACAGGGCTGACTCTGCGCCGGCCACTGCCTGTTCCTACAGTGCTGCAGGTGAGCCGTGCGGCGCCTGCACCTGCAGCGGCTACTGTATCACAGCAGGGGGCAAAGTCGGCGCCGCCTTCCCTTGCTGTGTTCACATACAGCAGGCGGCTAAGTCGACGCCGCCTTCCTCTGCTGTGTTCACATAAGGTGGCAGTAGATTAACTAACAATATCTGCTCCTAACTATAGCTGCTGTTATGGTCAATCTTTTGCTGCTGCCATGCATGTGCAGTTGGTTGAGCAAAGCAATGATGCTCCTGCTCTTGCCGCCGGTATGATCTTGTAGGGAGCATAGAGGCAGGGAACCAACAAAAGGGGAGAGGGAGGACAAGTTCTCACAGTCTGCTGCTTGCTGTTACAATGCTTGGGTACGAAGAACTAAAATCCTTGTTTTGCTAATTTGTAGGATTCAGTTCTTTCCTAGTTAATATAATGGATTGAAGAGCTTGTAAATTTCTGATTAGAACAAAGGGACGAGTACACAGTCAACGTTTCCTATCCTTTTGAGCTGTTTGAGTGACCAATTGTGCCTTATTAGGATACCTGAACTAAATCTGTAAAGCTTTCTGAACTAGTGAACTGAACCTGGAAAGCTTTTAAAAAAAGAAAATATCAGACTATACCTCAGTAGACGGGGAGAAATAAATCAATTCAATCTTCTCCACAAGCCCACTTTTCTTCACATGCTCTCGCAGACCATCGACCTACAAAATCGGAGGTAAGTCAAATAATTGATGAATCTTCAGAATGTCATATGGGAACAATTGTATGATGGGTCCTCAGCTAACGTATAGAATTAGACATGAGACTTGGAATTTAACATCGAACATTTTCAGGAATCATGAAACACCCATCAGCTACAAAAGGGGCACTAGAAACATCTCAATTCATCAATCCACAAAAACTTGCTCTTAGGAGTGTAAAAAGATGTTATTATTGGGGACTGGGAAGGGGAAATAAAATCGATCAGAACTTGGTGCCAACAGCATAGGCATTACCATATGCCGTATGTTGGTGCCAGCATACAAATCATGGCATACGGGAAGTGAAAATAGCTCTAGTAATAAACTAAAAGCTGACAAGCTAGATCTCAAATCTTCTATCCTGCAAACCTACCCTATATAAACAAAAAGATCCTAATTAACACACTAAAAAGGAAAGCCAACAAACAAAACGCACCATGATGCTGATTCACAAAAAAAATGAGCAATCTGATGCTATTCTAACAAACTCACATAAGGGGTAGATATAAAAGACAGAATCTGAGCACTAAAAACCCTCGACAAAAATATTGAAAAAACAGGTCCAACTCACTCTTCTTATGGTTGGTATGCGCTTAGCTGGAGGTGTGTCCAATATTCACAAAAATGTGATCTGTTGTTTGGTTGTTACACGTTAGCTACGCATATATGCATGTGTGTGTGGAAAACACTGGATTTTTCAGAAAACATTGAGAATTTCATGAATGAACTTGGATTTGCAAGCCTGCACAGAAGGCAAGATTTGACTGAAAAATAGTCATTTCTAACTAGCCAAATAATGCTTCCCTAGGTGAGCACATGTGCTCACAGTAATCCCTTTAAATTGGCATCATATATACTACTAGATTTCAGAAACATGCTTGATTTAGTATCTGGACTGCTCCATAGTAGCTGATTTGGTAGTTTCTTTTGTGGCATATTCCCATTGAAGCTTGTGACCTAACTTAACTTCTCATCTACCCCACTCTATAATATACCAGTTAGAATAAATTTATACTCACACAATAAATGTCTGCTCCATAGTCATGACTTATACTATGTCCACATCTATGAATGCACCTATAAAATATAACACATCAAAACAAATGCACCAGATTATCTCTTAATCCTTCTTTCTCGTTACTCGTCCAAATCCGATAGTCCGTCCCTCACGCACGCCCACCCACGACCCCTCCCGAATTCTCGCGTCTCCCGCGACACCTCCTCTCCCCAATCGACGCGCCTGCGGTGGCCTTCACCCCTGACGCCCGTGCATCTCTCTCCCCCCTCTCGCCTGAAACCTAGATCGAGGCCGGAGACGAGGCAGGAGGCGCGGCCGGCTGCGCGGATTCCATCCAGGGGCGCGGCCGGCGAAGCAGCCTCCTCCAGCCGGGGGCGCGGCCAGCGGAGGAGCCGCCTCAAGCCGGAGGCGTGGCCAGCGGAGCAGCCTCCAGCCGGGGGCGCGTCCAGGCTCAGGTGCGTGGCCGGCGGTGCCGCCTACAGCCGGGGGCGCGGCCAGGCCCACGGCCACCGGCGCCAACATGTCTTACCTCACCGGCACCATCGCCAGACCCGGCGATAACCCCTACGAGGGCTGACCTTGGTCATCGACATCTGCTCCTCTCAGCGGCTAGTGTTTGTACGTCCTCACACATTTCTCCCCCTCTCTTCGTCTCCATCAGCTACCTCCGGTCCGCCGCCGCCGAAACCTTAGCCGCCTCCAGCTCCTTGACCTTGGCAGAGCCATGGCGATGAGGTCCGGCAGGCGGGTCTTGTAGCCAGAAGGGTCAGTTCCCCAGTCCCCACCTACAAGTACGCAAGTGTAGTGTGACCTTCGCCTCCGCCGTCTCCATGGCGACCATCAATCCCTTCAAACTCCTTGGCACCGACGACAACGACGACCCCACGCAGCTGTTGGCCGCCGCCGCGGCAGCGAAGCAGAAGGCCGAGGAGAAGAAGCAAGCGGCGGACGCGCAGCCAGCCCTCGCCAAGTTTCCGACCAAGCCTGCTCCCCCCGCCCAGGCCGGTGAGTTCGGGTTCAGTTGCGTGGTTGTTGGATCTGGGGTTTAATAGAGTTTTTATCCTCATCCTGAGGCGTGGACTATGAAAATAGTGTTTTTTTATCCTGAACAATTTTAGGATATACTGCTGATTAGCATAGGCGATACATTAATTCGGATGCCATCTTAAGAAATACTACCTCCAGTCACAATCGTAGTAGTATTACCTTTGATGTTCGAAACAGTTAGTCCGATTTTAGCCAATTCAGGCACCAAAAAATAGATTTTTTTTGCACGGAATGCTCATGCTCTAAATGTTTCAGTGAAGGAGTCCCGCAGTGGTGGTGCTCCCTCCCATGGAGGTTACAGGCGCGGCGAACGTGGTCGTGGGACAGGAGGGCGAGGATATGATCAGAACCGTGACTATGGCAGCGAAGATGCTAATGGGTTTCAGGGAGGATATGGTGCTCGAGGAGGTGCCAGAGCTGGAGGCGAAGAAGGCGCCCAGGATAGAGAGAGGGGCCCTCGTCCACCCTACGGTGGCGGTGGCGGAGGTCGGCGGGGTGGATACCGTGATGGTGAATTTGGTGATGATTCTGAGAGGCCACCTCGGAGGCCCTATGAACGCCATAGCGGTACTGGCCGTGGGTTTGAAATGAAGCGCGAGGGTTCAGGCCATGGGAACTGGGGAACTACCACTGATGAAATTATCGCCCGGTAAGATAGCTATGTTTTGTTGTATAAGATGTTGAGGTGCACATTTGTGAAGATAGAACTAACAACTTGTGCTGTTTGGATGACCAGGGAAACTGAGGAAGGCCTGAAGCTGGATGAGAAGGCCCCTGTTCCTGAGAAGCAGGGTGCACCGGAGGATACTCCACAGGCGGAGGAGAACAAGGAGAACAAGGATGCCACAGCTAATGAGGAAGAAGAGAAGGAAGAGGATAAGGTATACTTCTGCTTGCTTTGATCTTATGACCTAAATGCTATGATTTTGTTGTTAACTTGCTTTTTTGTTTGATATTGAATTAATTTGAAATTAACATGTGGATCTTATCCGGTTATTTAACATTGCAAGAACAACCTGCCACATTCATGGAACTGATGAAAATGTGTGTAACAGACAAGTTTTCTGGAAACTTTGAGGTTCCCTTTCCTCACATGTGTGATCCATCTTAGGGGACACTCATTATATAGCTTGCTTGTGATATTCATAGGGCTATATCAGTAAGGTAGACTCAATAGCCGTATGAGTTGCTATAACAGGTGATTGATTTGCACCAGCAGCAGTAACGTAATCCAGTGCAGTTATTTGACTTCAAATTTGCAACAGTTTTAATATTTTCTTATGCACATCTTTATTCTATATGGGCAGTTTCAAGCCTGGTGATCACGACACCTGTTTCCCATAAGGAACTTTCCTTACTCATTAGTGTACTGATATGTGTTTCCATGTTGATGATCGCCTGACCAAATCTTTTGATGATGTAGGAGATGACTCTTGAGGAATTTGAGAAAATAAGGGAGGAAAAGCGGAAGGCACTTCTTGCCCTTAAGACTGAAGAGAGGAAGGTTGAAGTTGATAGGGACCTGTAGTCTATGCAGCCACTTGCATACAAGAAAGGAAATGATGAAATTTTCGTAAAGCTGGTAAGTCGTCATTATGCCTTGATCTTTTCTGCTCTTATAATGTCGTGGAGATGTCCAAGCTTGATTATTATTTTCTTGGCAGGGTTCTGATAAGGATGCTCTGAAGAAAGAAAATGCTGAACGTGATGAACGTGCAAAGAAGGTCTAGCATCTCTCTAATTGTTCTGATTTCCTCATATCAAGCTGCTGAAAATTGCTATTTTTTTATGATTATTATTTTCTTGGCAGGGTTCTGATAAGGATGCTCTGAAGAAAGAAAATGCTGAACGTGATGAACGCGCAAAGAAGGTCTAGCATCTCTCTAATTGTTCTGATTTCCTCATATCAAGCTGCTGAAAAATGCTATTTTTTTTTATTTCCACATTGGTGAAATTGACAATAGCCAGTTAATTATGGCGTAGCCCACTGTCTTTTTTGAACTCCATGAACACACTAAAATTTACTCTTTTGGATTCATTTGCCATTCCTTTGTCCTGTGGCTATAACTGTGCTATAGCGATTTCTCCTGCTTGTGCATTCAATCAGATCACTGGGTTCACACTCTTTTTTACTGTATATCTACTGCTAATGAGGGGATGATTCACTTATTTCTTCTTTTTTCTCCCAGTCGGTGAGCATCAATGAGTTTTTGAAGCGTGCTGAAGGAGAAAGGTACTATGGCGGGCGTGGGCGTGGCAGGGGCCGTGAAGACCGTGGAGGGTTCAGAGGGGGATATGTTGGGGGTTATCGCGCTCCACCAGCTGCTCCTGCAATTCAAGACCAATCTCAGTTTCCTTCCCTTGGTGGGAAGTGAACACATCTGGTACCTAAAAAACGCATATCATCTTTGCTGTCAAAGTCATATCATCTTTGCTGTCAAAGTCGGGTTCTGTTTCGCAGATTACTGCTCCATTGCTAATCAGACATAATGGTGTCACATGTTGTTTATTCCCTGCTGTGAGTCGACTTTGTATATCAGAGTTGTCTGTCAGAATTTTGTTAGGCTATTTGCCGTTTTACTCGCGAACCAGTCATGAGTTACCCAGCATTGTTTCTGTTCTGTGGCTATATTTGCAGTTTTTTCTGGAAAGCCCCTTTATCGATTGTCTTAACAGTAATGTACTAAGGAAAATCTGCAGTAGAACTGTTTATATGTTGGTTGTGTTTTGAGGTTGTGGAGCATAGGCCTCAATGTTCGTCCTACGAGGCATGGCTTCTCTTCTGTAGCCAGACGATAGTGATAACATTCTCCTGTTTCCTCTACGAACATTGCTATTATTCACCGCCTTAACAGCTGTCAGGCACCATGTCAGTCCTGTTTGAATTTTGATGGATTCCCCGCACCTTGAAGTCAGTAATGGGAATAATACAACCACAAATTCGTTGTTGTGAGTTGGGGTAGGAAGGAAACAAATCTTTGCATCATTCTCTTTAATGCATAATATCCACCTATCAGATGTGGTACAAATTAAAATGTTTTTTACTTATAGAATGCCAATAATGACAATATGCTCTCTGGCTTTGCTTACAGGACAGGCATATTGCTAAAATAAAGATTGGAGGTAAGTGGTCATTTTTCTCCTATAAACGATACATAATTATGCTAGTTTTCTGCTACTCCCTGTTTATAAAGTATGTAATTCTAAAACATGGTTCAGATAAGTAAGGATGAAAACGGAACGGAAATACCCCGAACCGAACCACATCGTTTTCTATATTTAATCCGATCGAATCCGCATTTTCTTGTCCGACTTTACCGTTTTCGCTTTCGCATTTGGGATGTTTCGTATTTCAAATGTAAAAGTAGAAAACGGTTTACACATTTTTCGACCGTTTTCTACTTTTCTATTTTTAATTTGAAATATTCCGAATTCAAAATTCGGTTTAAACCGAATTTGGCCAACTGCACAGGTCATACAGCTCAATTACAGGCTGCTCACCACGCAGCTGCGTTCTTTCTACTGGTGGCTAGCTGCCATCTCTTATAGACGGCGCCCAGCCTCATCTCTCTTATTATATATTTGGTCGTGCACTTGTTTAATGCTATGCATTTGAACTAGATCATGCACTTGTTAGTTGTGAACTTGTTATGTATTTGGTCGTGCACTTGTTTAATGTTATGCACCGTGGGTCGGTATTTCGTATTGAATTTTCGCATACCGACCGTGTTCGATATAATTCCGCTCGAATTGGTTCGTTTCCGAAATTTTAGATATTCCGTAAGTTCGTGTTCGTTTTTGTGTCTTCTGCTTTCGCTTTCGTATTTCAAATGTAAAAGTAGAAAACGGTTGAGGAGTTTTTCGACCGAGTTCGACCGTTTTCATCCTTACAGATAAGTATCATGACACATGGTTCAGCCAGGACTGAGTTCCAGATAAGTAATCTGACATGTATCAATATGAGAGTTACAGAATATCAGTTAAGTAATGTGGAACACCAGTCTAGGGGTTCCCTTCATCGCCGTGCCTCAGCTCCGCACTCAGCTTACCACCCAGCATGTTTTGTAAAATAATGAAAATTTGGCATTGGTGGAGGCTGTGTTAGTTTGAGTTGGATGCTTGGCATGTGGAATCCGGTCCAGCAGCTAATGATTGTAATTTGTACATTAACATTGCCTTATTTTTTGGCTTGATTGGGGCTTGGTGGTGAAATCATGTTACATTTCTGTTGACCCCTGCATTTATCGAAGATCATAGCACTTCATTTATCTAAGCTTGTCGTTCTTAATTGAACTTCATTCTGTTTTTACTAATCTGTAGTACTGATAGAGTAACCATTGCAGGTCCAAAAGGTCAGTCGAATGTTTGGGATGTCTGGACATCACCTGAAGTAAGAAGACAACATTGGCAGATTGGTAGCGGTAGCAAGAATTGAGAATTTATGTTTTATACCTGGCTAAATGTTTCTGATGTTTTTGTTTTGTTAAATTTAGTTGTATAATACACATTCTCTAAATGGTGTATGTACAGGACAAGTTTCTATAATATACTGAGAATGATGCAATGAATTGGAATCTCTCTTAATTGTCTTGCTGTACTCTATTTGTGACGAAGTACCACCGTAGTTTGGTTGTTTCAATATACATCCTTAAAATAAAGCCGTGGCGTTAGCACGGGTATTATACTAGTGGTTATTAGTAATACACTCCTCAATTGTGGTGACTGAAGAATGAATTCAATTGTGTGGCAAAGTTTCCTAATTTCTTCCATTTTAATTTTTTTTCACATGGTACGTGGAAACTCTGAGTTTAGTTTGGACTGAATTTATTCCCTTCAGAGTTGAATCGACTATCTGAATGTTGATTTCTCATTGATACTCTACACTTGCAGTACTGCATTTGTAATGTCAACTACAACATTACATCGAGGAAATTGATATCCAGTGCCAAACAAAGCTGCTCCAGTTTACATAATAGTTGGTGATGGAGGCAACCAGTAAGGACTTGCTTCAAGGTGAGAGGAACTAATAGCCGGCGTGCTATTATGTCACACAATATGAACTGTGTGGAACAATAACAGAATAGCAATATTGCTAGTGCCCGCCTCTCTTGAAAGCAACAGAACCAGTTATTCGGTCTGACAATGGCAAGTCCAGCTACCAAAAGTTTTCCTGACTGCCACAGTTTAATTTGGCCTTCAAGTTCAAACAAATAATAAAGGTCAATGGTACTGGTTGGTTGTTATGTTATCTACACCGCTAATTTATATGATATCACCATCAGAATTCATGATACAAGAAACATGAATATTGATCATTTCATGTCTTAGCTCCTACATCTGTTAGCCCAAGACACGCAAAACAGAGCTCTAATACTCATGATGGTACAAGTAAAACACGAAAAGTCTTGCTGTAAGCATTATTAACACAAATAAAACGAATATTGATCATTCATGTTTTGCTTGTACATCGATAGATCCACCAATCTGCTAGCCGATCCAAGACATGCAAAACAGAACTCGAACAAGGAAAAATACATGCCCAGTTCAAACCTTAGAAGAAGCATACAAATCGCGAATATAGATACCATAAGTTGATGCAACCTAGAAATCGCTAAACCAATACCTCAAGCTCAAAATCAGCAAGACCCGTAGGTAAAATATAAAGTATATTAAACCTATGCGCAGTTAAAAAAATTTGGTCAGCTAGCATGCAAAATTTTCATATAAAATTAATCACATCAAAACATACATAGAAAGATGGGCTAACAATCTGCGTCACTGTGGAGGCGAAATCAGAAGGACGAACCGTCGAACCTGAGATTCGGTTCCCACAAATCGAGTCGTCGCCGGCTGCGACAGCTGACAGCCTCTGCACACAAGCTCACACGTGGACCCGATGAGAGCAAAAGGGCAAAGAGCGGGGAAGGGCAGGCGGACGGGGCGACGGCACCTACCTAGAGGAGATGGAGTCATTGGAGGCGGTCGCCGGTGACGACGTCGACGTCCTCGCAGCGGCGCGGCCGGCAGTCGTGTCGCAGTAGGGTTTGGATCCTTCCTCCCGGTCCTCACTGCAGGTCTGCGGCCGCCGGATCTCGACGGGAGGCGGACTTGCCGAGGCCCCTCGCTCCCTCAGCCCTCAGCCCGCTCGAATCCACTTCCGCCCCCGCCTCGACGGGGAAAACCGGTTGGTGCCGCCCCAAAAATCGAGGTCGCGCCGCCGTGGACGGAGATTCCGCCTCCACATCGACGGGGGCCGCACCGGCGTCGACGAAGGTTCTGCCTCCACGTCGATGGGGGAGGCCAGTTGGTGCCGTCCCAAATCGAAGCCGCGGCCGCGTTGACGGAGCTTCCTCCTCTGCCGTGAAGAAGACGAAACGAATAAAGCAGGTTGAAAGGGGAAACACACGGGCGTTACGGTTTTGATTTTTTTAAAATTGACCAACGCGGCGTGATACCGAATCAGAAGTGAGCACGAGAAATTCGGGACGGAACGGAAGGTGCCTAAGGGAAAGGAAAGGGAGTGCCAAAGATGGGAAGTGTGCGTCGCTAACATCCAACGTGCACGCGCGCTGAGTAATGATTTGGCTCGTAATATAAATGCACATGCTTATAATATAGGAGAATTTTTTACGTGCTATTAAAAAAGATCGTAATGGCCTGTGAGCCTCTGGAAAAGTTCAGCGGTTTTCAGTGCCACTGCTTCAATTTTTTTTTCCCTCCATGCCACTGTCGTCAGTTTGGACTCTAACGTCGTCAAACTGCAGGTGTAAAAAGTCAAAAATACCCTTAAGTCTAAATATATCATTAATTTTTTTTAAGCATCTTAACAACTTCAAATGAAAAAACTTAAAACTAGAAAATTGTAGATCTCGCCGAGATTTATAATTTTCATATAAAAATTATCTTCATTTAATTTCGCAAAAAAAAATATGATTTTTCTAAGATATATTAATCATATCAAATCATATTTTTTACGGAATTAAATGGAGATAATTTTTATATGAAATTTATAGATCTCGACGAGATCTACAACTTTCTAATTTTGAGTTTTTTCATTTGAAGTCGTTAAGATGCTCAAAAAAATTAATGACATATTTAGACTTAAGGGTATTTTTGACTTGTCACACCTACAATTTGACGGCGTTAGAGCCCAAACTGACGGTGGTGGCATAGAGAGCACAAAAAAGTTAGAGCAATGGCACTGAAGACCGTTGAACTTTTTTAGAGACTCATATGGCATTGCGATCTTTTTTAATGGCACACAAGGAATTCCCCCTTAGAATATCTAGCGACACTTTAATAACCGCATTTCACGACGAGTTTCACCCCTCTTAATAGTACGGCTATCTATCTTAAATGTGATCACACACTCTAA